ATTAAGTGATAAAGGAGCAGAACCAAAAGTTGGGTAAACTGGGCTTTGATCTTGGTTCTTCCTGTTGAACTAGTCACTTGGACTTGGACCAGTTACTTTTTACGTAGCACCTCAGCCTTTTCCATTTTAAAATATGGCATTAGACTAGTTAGTCAGCCTGCCTTCTTTAAACCATGATAATTAAAGACAGGTCAAAGGTGTAGACAACTGATGTTACCAGACATGGATGATTCTTTTGTCCAAGGTGGAGCTAAATTTTCATTTATGTCTCCTTCCCTCTGCACAAAAGAAAATCAGTGTTTCATAAAATCCACCAACATAGGCGGGGTTGGAACTGGCTCGAGTGGGGAGATTTTCCCAGTAGTGAAGCTTCTGTTCCTTCCTTTTGGCCCTACTTCATCAGAAAATGATCCACCCTGATCCAGCTGAGAGACCTTCTGCAGCAGCTCTGTCCAGAAATGGAGTTCTCTGGCCTTCCCTGGGGAACACACAGGAGCTCCAGAAGCAGCTGAAGTTGGAAAAGTCCAAGATGGCCATACTGGAAAGGTAGATTTGGGGATGTTGGAGTCAAGAATGAATCGATTGCAAATCATTCACATCAGTATGAGCAGGCTGGTGTGCTTCTGTGGATTTACATTTACATATATTGTACATTATAATACATAGGCCCCTGTCCACAAGCAGACTGTCGGCACAAAGGCCTTTTACAGCATGGGACTAGTTCTGTGTCTAGGTGGCTTGAGAGAAAATTCCAGATAATACAAAGGAAGCAAGAGGGAGGAATATAAGGAAGTACCACTGGTAAAGAAAGCTTGGGATTCTGAGGGATAGCAGGTGTCTTAAGTAACTGGTGGGGATCATCTCACCTTGGTTAGTGAGTAGAGACCTATTTGAGAAACTCACTAAGCTTCAGTGTTAGGCAGGCAGATATACTATCATGGTACATATTTAGAAGAGGAGTTTTCTGAACAAAGAAAGCAATTCAATTGCTTATTTGCATAAGCTTGTATTCTTTTATTACCCCATTCCTTCATTAAACAGATGGGAATTAATCAGATGGGGTAAGGTTGGGGAAGAGGTCCGGCAGTGTGTTTGAGCAGTGTTCTGAAGGAATTTTTAAGTGATTATTATGTTGTGCGCTGTTGAAAATACAAAAGGAAATGGAAAAGGGTCCTTGTCTGAAGTAAGCTTACAAGTCCAACTACTCTTAGCTACAAAGTCCATCTTGAAAAGAAAGATTAGTTTGAAAGCTTAAAAAGTCTCTGATATGATTTTTTAGTAATTCCAAATAAGCCACTTAATAATTATCTTGCTCTAGTTTTGAGTTCCATTTTCCACGGAATAAAAAGAAAGTATTTATCCACATATCTTGGTCACAGCAAGGTAAGTGCCTCTTACAGTGTAGTAGGTATATTCTGTGAAGCTTCCAGTGACTGTCATCAGCCAGTACCAGTGGTGGGCACCCATCACAGAGATGAGGCAGATGGCATCTTGAAATTGTCTAGACCAGAGAATGGCAAACTTGTTTGGTAAAGGGGTAGGAAGTAAATATTTTTTGCTTTGTGGGACATATAATCTCTTCTATAATGACTCAACTTATTTGTAATATAAAAACGGCCATTGATTGATTGTGTTTGTGTGTGTGTAAACAAATGAGTGGCTGTGTTCTAATATAACTTTATTTACAAAAATAGATGGCAAGCCAGATTTGACCAGGAGCTTTTATTGACCCCTGTAACTTTCATGTATTGACTGAAAAGCTGTATGCTTATGCCCCAAAGATCTGGGAAATTGAATCTACCACGTGCCATGACATGTATTTCAACTTATTAAATGAGCTTTCTATTCTTCACATAGTGTAGGCTTCTTTCTGTAAACCTGAAATAAAAAGAAACTGATGTGTTAGTTGTGGTTGTAAATAATATCTATAATTAGGGAATAAATAACCTATGTTTTCCTGCTTTCATTTCAGGAAACTGAGAGAAACCCAGCAGGCCTTGTCCTCTATGGAAGACGCCCACCATAGTGACCCTGAGATCTCTGGGGCTCACACAGGATCAAGAAGAAAAAAACACCTGGTGGGAAGAAAGACTACAAAGTCTTCAAGCTTTACCTGTGGGGAATCTTCTCCATAAGAACTCATTTTATACCACCAGTCTTTTACCATACAGCCTCCAGAAACAGACACTGAACATCCAAATTTCCCTGTTGCAAGAAGGAAAAATTCACCAATTTGAATGCCCAAGACTTCAAAAGTACACCTCATTTACTATTTACAGTCAAGGTCATAAAGCTACTAAGGTTCTTATCAGCAGTGGTCCCAGGTATACTAATTGGTAGCCACTTTTCTTCCCTATTGTTATATTCCTCCTGTCAATAACTTATGCTTAAATTTTCTGATGAACAACAAGAAAACGGCCTCTGAAGTGAAAGAAGGGAATAACCTTTGGCTTGGCTTGTGGACTGAGAAATGTCCAAGGACCCCAGGGACTCTCTGTACATAGAAAGCAACAATATTTGTCTTTGAGTTGAAGTAATAGCTTACAAGAAATGTGCCTGGAATTCAACAGTGCTTCCCAAGGTACATGATACTATTCCTAAAAGTGAATGCCCACATTTTGAGCAAGTAGTATTTTCTGGATGGAGGTATTCTCTTCTCTGATACTGTATTTATAAAATTAATGGCCCTAAATTATGTGAGGTAGGTAGCAATAAGAATGTGTACAACTAGGACATCCCTGAGCTGTTTAACTTGTGAAAACAAAAACAAAAACACGGGAGGTAGAGGGTTCAAGGAAATTTGATGTTACTGCTCTCTCTCAGGCTATTTGTCTTAATCATCTTGCGGCTGTTCTGGTTGGTTTGGATTTTTCTGGATATCAACAATTTCTCTTGATTTTAGCAGAATTTGGCTTTGCTTCTGTGATTTTAGCATATTTTATCCAAATCCTCTTCTCTGTGTACATTTTCATAGGAATTTATAAATAAAGATTTTTATTTTTTTCAGAGCCAAATATGGGTAAAGCATTCTTCTTTATAATATGTAATTAACAAATAATGAGAAATTTATGTTAGAAAAATGGATGGTAGAGTGGGTGAGAGAATTCAGTTGATTCTAACACATCTTGTCAGTAAGGCTTCATAGGTCCAAAAGCCAAGAATAATGGTCAGGCTCAGCTATAAAATAATTTTGACCATAAAAGTATTTGATAACTTCTTTATGTCATGTTAATGATGGTAATCTGTTAATAATACATTGATTTTTCTGTTGCCTAATTTTCTTTGTTTCCCTTCATTTTTAGAAGGAAAAAGAAGAAAATTAGGCATCCCTCTAATAAGCCCTCATACAATTCTTCTGTCTTGGAATAGCAACTCTTTCCATGTGGTCTATTGTCATTGGATAAAGACTAGTAAATAAAATGGGGTTGGTTTATTGCTTGCCATTTCCTCAACCCGACTCCCTTCCTATGTTCCTTGCAATACAGTGCCAGGTCAATCACATTTATGGTTTTAAAAACAGGTACGTTATTAAGTGTGCAATGTATAGTCCAGAATTCTTTGGTTAAACTAGTCTCGGGTGTTACAGCTACAACTAGAAGGGTCTCTGACCTTTCCACTGTGTTCCTCAGAGTCTAACCTCACACCTGAATGAACCTGATGCCAGATTGGTTGGGCTCCCTCTGGCTCTGTGAGTTTCCATGGCAGCAGTTATCACAATAGCCCATAGCTGCAGGGATACTATTGAGTATGAGAGGAACTAGGTCTTCATTGGGTTTGAGATTTCATCTTTTCCACTTCAGTTGGACATTTACCCCTTGCTTGGGTAAATTCTGACTTTGCATCGATGTCATGACATAACTCAAATTATTATAATTATTTCGTTAACATTATTGGGCTGGTGACATTAAATAAGTTAAATTTAAAAACTCTGGAAATGTATCCTCCACAAACCCTGATACCTGAAGATGCCGACAATCTTGAGATTTAGAGAAATACCTCTGTGCTCTACTGGTCTAGCTCTAACAGGTCATTTATCTAAGGTTGTAGAAGGATTATAACTAAAAGACTAATGTTAACCTCCCAGCCTGGATAATTAAATCTGTACAATTTCAACCTTAAATTACATTAAAAAAATTGTCAGGTTGTTTTTTTTTTTTAAATTAAAAAGTAGCCACAATAACTCTAAAGTGATGCTAAACTTGCTTTTGAACCACCTTAAAAATACATGTTAGTAGTCAGTTTAGGCAGAAGTGCTATAATAATTTTCCAACAGTTATGAGACTTTAGAAACACTGACTTTAAAAGCAAAGTGAAAACTTGATTCAAATTTTCAAAAAATGTTTTTTTTTTTTTTTTTTTTTTTACAGTATCAAAACTTTCCAAAGCTTCCTATTTATGATAAAGCATTGCAAACCCTGTTCTCTATCACTGGATGCCCATAGCTGAAATTTTTTTTTTTTTAATTTATTTTTTAGTTGTAGGTGGACACAATACCTTTATTTTATTTTTCTGTGCTGCTGAGGATGGAGCCCACTGCCTCACGCATGCTGGGCAAGCGCTCTACCTCTGACCCACAACCCCAGCCCTCTTCTTTTTGGCGACCTCTTGAATTTTGAGGCCTCAGCCCTTTCTCTGCATTCCTTCACTTTTCTGCTTAGGGCTTCAGGAGGCTTGGGGCATTTGTTTTGTTCCCAGTCTCAATTACACTACTTCTTCCCTTCTTGGGCGGGACTGGGAACCTCATTCCTTTGGAAATTTAAAATCGCCGCAACTCACCGCTTGGCGGCGCCGATGCATCCTTTTCCGCCTGGAATAAAACTTCCCGGAACTCCTGAGTGAAAGGACGTGTTTCTCACAGTTTTGACCGGCAGCATTTTTACGGAGCACGCCTTTGACTTCCTGTTTTCTCCTTCCTATCGCAACCATTACGTCTTCCTTGCACCGGAAGTGACCCTTGGGGGAGGGGGGATTGCCCGGTCTAGCGAGTCAGGTGAGGGAGGGTGTGAGGAAGGGCGCGAGCCGTGTGTTAGTGTTCTTGAGTGCCTGCGAGTTTCTGGAGGTGGTGCAGTGTCGCTGTCTTTCCCTTCTCACTCGAGGCGTGGACTCTGCGGTTTCTCCCAAGTTGTTAGGTGGGAGTGTCACGTTTGGGAAAGGGCGTCAGTCCCTCCCGGGCGCTCGCGGGTCTCGGGGCACTTTGGCCTTTGCCAGCCGGAATGAAAGAAGTGGTTTTTGCAGCAGCACCGGGTTTCAGATTGTAGTCCTTTAAAGACACTAATATTTATTGAGCTCTTGCTGTGTGTTAGGCACTCTTAGGAGTCTAGGATATGGGAGTGAGTTAATCAGGCAATCTTTGCTTCGAGAGCTTGTGTTTCAGTACGGTTTGAGAAGACTGGATTGGAAGTGGGAATAATTTAGAACCAGAGTTTAAAAATACGGGTTGGAGGAAGAGGAAATTAAGTGGGCTCGAAAAGAGGTTTCTGGAGGGGGAAGGGGATCCTCAAATGTGCAGGGATGTTGATGTGGGCGCAAGTTAGAAGTGCATGAAAATTATGAGTGCAGTTAGGAATTTAGGATAGTCAATATGTTTCTCTTGCTATAAGATGCAGTATTTAATTTATCTTTTTTTTTTCTTCAGGAAAAGCTAAGTTTAGATTGTAAGAAAAGAAAATAGAAGCCATGTTTCGAAGACCTGTATTACAGGTAGTCACTTTTCTGTATTAGTGCTAAACTGTACTTTGATCAGCCATAATGATCTGGTTTCTGTAGGCTTTTGACTGCAGGGGCAAAAGACCTTTAAGTCTACCCATCACCTGTGTGTGCTCACTGGACAGGGAAGTTCAGAAATGAATTTTGTCGTGTAAATAATGTTTACTAAAACAAAAATTTTCAAATTTATTCACCTATGTAATAAGAATCATTAATTTTTAAAATGTGTAACTTGAATATAGATCAGAGAGTATTTAAGGTTTTAAATGATACAAGGACTATAACAATCATTGTTTTAGCATTTTTTTCTATGAGACATATAGTTCCTTTTCTCACCATCTATCTCCTTTTACTAAATGCTTCCCTCTTCTCATCTTCTACAGTGAGGACAGCTCAACTCTGAGCATCACCACAGATTCACATTGCCTACCTTCAGTTTCATTCTGAGCAATTTGGCTCCTTATCCATCCCCTCATCCTGGCCATCTTTGATTCATATTATCTAGATTACCACTTTTCCTTACCACATTTGGGCACCAAGTCCTGTGGATTCTCCTAAATAATACCTCTATGACTCCTCATCCTCCCATTAAGTCTAGTGAAGAATTAGTTCCTCTGTGAAATCTGTTGACATCTTTGACCAATTGTCAATTTGATTTTATAGTCTTAGATCCCCACTTTAACTTATAGGTACTTCTAACCTTTTAAGATTATGTAAAACATGGAAAAGTTATTGCTAGTTGGGTACAGTGACTGAGTCCTACAATCCCAGTTACTTGGAAGGCTGAGGCAGGAGGATTCCAGGTTCAAGGCCAACCTTGGCAATTTATTAGGACCCTGTCTTAAAAAAAGAAAAAAAGTGCTGGGGGTGTAAAGTGCCCCTTGTTTCAATTCCTAATACAAAACCAAAAGAAGTTACTACTATCTTGCTGTCTTGATAGTACTTAGTACTGTAGTACTAAGATAGCTTTAAGATCAAATATTCAGAAGTTAAAATTTAATTTTAAAAGTCATATAAGTTAAATAATTTCCCTATTTCTACTTCTTTAGTTCTTAATTTTCATGTGTGCCTAATGTAAGACATTGTTATTTTTTAAGATTTATGAGTTTTGGCTTCTCTGACCACTTAAATTAGTATATTGCTATGCTTATGACTCAGTTACCAGTTAGCAGTTTGAATCTCTAGTATGTTGTAACTTACTGTGTTTGTTTTCTTATCCACCTTCTATCCTGAAATTTATGATAGGCTTATATAGCTCACAGCACCCAGGAGTGGGTATTCATTTGGTGGTGTTCTTCTGCTTTTTATATTAACAATACTGCTGCTTGAAAAATGTTTCTCTGATAGAATGTCTAGCTCTCTGAATTCTGCATCCAGTGATGTATATTCCTACCTTATGAAGGTAGGAGTAAAGGTAGGACTATACCTTGAACAAAGTATCTTTGAGGCAGCAGAGGACAGTGGGAAAATCAGCAATCTTGTTATTAGACAACTCTGGATTCTAGTCATTACTTAACCACTTATTTCATATAAGATCTGGGGCAAGTTCTTCACTCTCTGAGCTTCAGTTTACTTGGGTCTAAAGTGGGGATAATTTTACATAATTTATATATTTAGTTTTAGAGTTACTTGATAAGGTAAAGCTCTTTGTTGGTATTCAGTAATAATATCTGTGATTAATATGTGGCAGTGGCTATCCTTTTCTGATGACTCTGTGACTTGGATAGCTATATCTTTGTACTTAACCATGTTTGCTTATCTTATGTCATTTTCCTTGATAACACTGAAAACATGAAGTTTTCCATCAGATATTTATACAGCTTTACAACTGGTCAAGTCCACTATAGAAGCTGTGTGGTTTTTCCCCAATAGTCTTGTGAAGCAGATGTTCATCATCATTTTTGCTAATTTTTAAGTGAGACACATTAGGCTAATCATATTTGAGTTATCTCCTATAGGGAACCTGACTTTGGAACCTATCCTTTTGTATATCCAAAAAATATTCATGTAATGAATATATGGATTTTTTTTTTTTTTTTTTTGGTTCTGGGGATTGAACTCAGGGACACTCAACCACTGAGCCATATTTCAGTCCCTTTTTTTGTATTTTATTTAGAGACAGGGTCTCATTGAGTTGCTTAGGGCTTTTGCTAAGTTGCTGAGGCTAGCTTTGAACTTGCAGTCCTACCAAGCTGCTAAGTATTATAGGTATGTGCCACTGTGCCTGGCTTTGGAATGTATTGTTTTATTTATTTATTTTTTTTGGAGTTTAACCTATTTTTCATTCTCTGTTCTTGAGGCTAAGAGTGAGACTTAAGTAATGACATTGTATGTATTACATATACCCTAGCAGTAGTTTGATAATTACTTTTTATGTTATTAATGAGTATTTATAAATACATTAATTATAAAGTACTATTCCTTTTTCTCCTCTCCTTTGGTCTAATGATGTACTGAGTCTGTACCCATATTAGATAAATCTAAGTTTCTTAATTTCAAAATTGTGTATTCAAAATATAAATAATATACCATATATTTATTTATTTATTCTTAAAAAGTCAATCTGTTTTTTTGAGTGTAAAAAAGTAATTTTTGCTTTTTTCTATGTCTCCAGCTAATAAAAGCTGGATTTTTTTTTAACTTGAAGCAACTCTTGGGTACAGATTAGATTTACAGTTACTGTGATGCTTTCCTTTGAGGAAGACATACAATTTTGATTTTATGTTTCATGTGCAAACACAGAAGTGCCATAATCACAAAGATTACCACAAAAGAAACAGAGGACTATAAATTAACTCTTGGACATGTTCTCCACTACCTTCTTCATACCTGTGGCTTCTGTGGTAGGCTGCTCCAGAAGTGTTTGCTTGGTCTTTCTGGCTTTGTATGTTGAAAGAACATGGAAAAGCTTTTCTCTTCTGGAATTCTTCGAAACTATTGTCTAAGTAATGAACAAATATGAGCAGGTCTTCTGTTTGCGTTTGCCTTTTCTAAAAAAGTAAAGCCATGTTGCTTGTTTGTTCATCAGGTACTTCATCAGTTTGTAAGACATGAGTCTGAAGTAGCAAGCAGTTTTGTTCTTGAAAGATGTAAGTAGTCATTTTCTAAGTTTGCAGTGTTACTTATGGTACTGTTCTAGTATTCTCAAAGTGCTATAGAAGAAATGTGCTGGGTTAAACTGTGTTAACCGTTATGGCTTTGGCCGTATTTGCTTCTTAGGTTGCTTGCCCCATCAGGCTGTGGGGCACCTTCTTTTCTTTCTTTCTTTCTTTTTTTTTTCTTTTTTCTTTTCTTTTTTTTTTTTTTTTTAATAAATTGGGCCTTTGTTTTTGTTTTTTTAAACTGGGGATTGAACCCAGGGCCGCTTGACCACTGATCCACATTCCCAGCCCTACTTTGTATTTTATTTAGAGACAAGGTCTCACTGAGTTGCTTAGCTCCTCACTTTTGTTGAGGCTGGCTTTGAACCCTCAATCTTCCTGTCTCAACCTGCCAAGCTGCTGGGATTACATGCATACACCATCGCACCCAGCAGGGCCCTTCTTATCAGCCAGATACTACTCACTCTTGTTATCACTGTCCTGCTGGACAATTTCTCATATTTGGTTGTCTGTGTCTTCTAAGGTTATTTTAAATTGTGAAAGATACTATTTCACAGAAATATTCCTTTTTTTAATAAAGGTTTTTAAATCTCAGATTTGTTTTAGTTCCACAGAAAGTTCTTTTAAAAAAGATACTATACATAAGATAAAGAATTTGATTTTTTTTTTTTTTTTTGTGGGGCTTCTTTCTGTTTTCTTCTTTCTTGCAATCTCTTTCCCCTGCTGCCAATCTTCCTTTATTGGTCCCTTTAACTTAGTATGTTGACTGCTAGTATTTGGGTTTTACTTAATTCAGAGATTAAAGTTGAAATGATATTTTTAACTGTTCCTTTTCTAGATAATTCTCTCAATCTGAGGTGTTTAGATTTCTTTAAATGTCAACTTCAGCTGACATAATGAATTACCACAGAGTGGGTGGATTAAACAATAGGCATTTATTTTTCACAGTTCTGGAGACCAGGAGTCCAAGATCAGGGTGCCAGTATGGTTGGGGCCTTACCTGCCCCTTGATGAGGGCCTTATTCCTGGCTTGCAGATGTGTTAGCTTCCTTACTGTTTTCACATGGTAGAGTGAGCGAGTCTGGTCTTTTCCTTTTATAAAGGCATAAATCCCATCATGGAGGCTCCCCTCATCACCTTATCTAAACCAAATCATGGACCCATAGTCCCCCTCCAAATATATCACATTGGGACTTAGCACTTCAAGGTACAGATTTTGAGGTGGGTACAGCAGTTTTTTCAGTCTTATTTTATTTCCTTTTTCAGCTCTGAATCGTGTGCAGTTACTTGGGCGAGTAGGTCAGGACCCGGTCCTGAGACAGGCAGAAGGGAAAAATCCAGTAACAATATTTTCTCTAGCAACAAATGAGATGTGGCGATCAGGGGAGAGCGAAGAATACCAAATGGGTAAGTATAAAATCCTGGGGTTTAAATTTTATCATCAATAAATAGAAATTATTTATTGCCAGTTATCTTAAATAGAGATAAGCTACTTTCAGACAAGGTTTATCTTTTCTCATTCTGTTGTTCTTTTAAAAAGTTGTGAGTTTTATTTTCCTGGCATGTTGTCCACTGGCATTTGTTTTGTCTGCTAGCGTTGTAAATATTTCCTTTTCTTGTGATTTAGGTGACATCAGTCAAAAGACAACATGGCATAGAATATCAGTATTTCGGCCAGGCCTTAGAGATGTAGCATATCAGTATGTGAAAAAGGGGTAAGTTACAAAAGGAAGGGTCTTTTGGATTAAATGATTTAAAGAACCAATAATAACAAGTGTTGTCATGGCAAGGAACATGTAACAACTCCTTTGTTCTTGAGCTCTTATATTAAGAAGTACTGTACATTTCTTAATACTATATGCGTGGAATGTAGCTATGTGTGTGACTCATTCAAAAGCATGTAAAATCTTAGTCTTCAAAGAACTTATATTTTAGGGCATACATAAGGTATGTATGTAAAAATACATACATACCTTATGTATGCCCTAAATAGCAGTAGATTGGGGCAGGAAATAAGGCCAGTGCGTTAACTGCCACTGCAACATGTGCTTTTTGAACAACTGCAACAGGTCCTGTGCCTCTGTGATCAGGGATCCTGGAGGTAGGTAGTGTCTTTTCCTCTTCGCATTCACATGACATTCCTAGCAGAGGATCTGGAATGTCTGAAGCCTGACACTGAGTTGTTATTCTCAGTATTTATTTTATATTTGGTAATTTTCTATAGATTTAGTAGTTCCCTTTGTAATGCGTAGATTAATTATCATAAAAATGTCTTTTCCAAATTCTCAGGACAAATGGATGTGTTTAACAGCAGTTACATTAATAGTTATGTTGTTTAGAAATGTACTTGTTTTGTAGAAATAAAACATTTAATAGAAATAATTTCAGCAATGATTAGAAATTTTGTCAATAAAACATACCTTTTCTTCATATGTATCTCCATTGTCCTCCTTGTGTGTGCACGTGTACACATACAAACACGTAAGAGGGTATTTCAAGGAAAATGTCAACTTACAATTTTATCTACTGATTCATGAATCTGCGTGTGTGTATGTTTTCTTTGATATCCAGTCATTTCACTTGTTTTGTCTTCTTTCTATATTTTGCTTCACTTTTCTTGTGATGGTTGACTCCGAGAACTGGTGCTGTCATAGTAATTTTCTGCCCTTTAAAATCACAGTTATGATTGTCATCTAGCTCAGTCTTCTATATATATAGTGTAGAAATTGTCTTGGTAATTGACTCTGAGTGATATGCTAAACTGAAAACCTCAATTTTGAGTTTTAATAATCTAAGCCCCTTAGAAGTAAAGTCATCGATTTCACTATAGAAGAAAATTGATAGATAAGTTAAAATCAGCATTTCTGTTAGGAAGTCTAAAACCAGAGGTTAAGTAAAATCACATTTTGGAAATCAGTCCTAGAGATTCATAGATACCCCTAAATTGGTCTTATGTCTTTATAATCTTAAGGCTACCTCTTTTTTTCTTTTAATTTTGGCTTAAGATTAAAAATTTTTTTTCAAAAACTCCTATAAAGAAAATAGCTGAAGGATGAAAACATTGTTTTTTACATATCAAGTCTGTACTCTTAATTTTGAACTTTAAGAAGTGATAGAAAAAACAGAATTATGTGTAATTATAGATTTAATTCTTAGTGTGTATTCATTACCACTCCTGACCTGACTCTTTGTAAAGCATGTTAGAGTTTCCAGAATAAAAACTGTGAATTATTTATAACAGGTCTCGAATTTATGTGGAAGGAAAAATAGACTATGGTGAATACATGGATAAAAATAATGTGAGGCGACAAGCAACAACAATCATAGCTGGTAAGAACCTTGTGATAATAACTGTTTTTTTCTTCTTTAAAAGCTTGACTATGGGCTGGGGTTGTGGCTCAGTGGTAGAGAGCTTGCCTATATGTCTTAATTCTTTGTTTAATGACAGATTTCCTTTTGTCTTTCTCTTTGCTCCAGAGTTCATGTCTTAACAACATGTTGATATTATAATTTGTTATAAATAATAATTATATTTACTTACTAGTAAGTTTCTTGGAAAGTAAATTGACTTTGAAAACCAGCATAGGTATTTTCCTATCCTCTTTTATTTTTTATGATAAACTAAATTTGTGAGTAAGCTTTAGATTGTTCAAACTCTTGGGTGTTATGAACCAAGCAAAATAGAAGCATTTCAGATTATCTCTTGATTTTTTTCTTGTCATCAGTTGTCATTAGCATGATCAGTTAACTATATGTTGATGACTGATAGTAAATATGAATAGAACTTCATTTCTGTTTGAATTTAAGAAAACAGTTTAATTTGGTCGACCTCTTTTATAGGCCATATTTTTTTTTCTTAGGAATCATACCGGAACTTAAAAATAGCCACCAGTGGATGGCACTGTTGTCTTTGTATAGTGATTTCAGTTCTTATAATCTCTTTCTTGACTTACCATTCTATACCTAAGTATTCTATTTTGGAAAGACTGCAGTTATGAAGTCATGAACAGATATTGTAAATATAGGTCATTGTGTAATGTCTACTTTGTGGATAATTTTATAGTTATAGGAATCTGAAATTTTTGGAGTTATGCAGGAGATAATGCTTATCTATTTTCCCTTGTTTGCCCTTAGCTAACTCCCTCTGGAATAGCATTGCAGAGTAATGTCTGATGTTTTCAGATGAAAATGCTTATTTCTATAGTAATTATTGTAAAGCTTTCCCCCAAAATGGATATATAAAATCATTCTGTCTTAAAATTAAGAACAAAATTTTTCTGTGAGTTTTTGAACTTACTTAAAAACATATCTGCAACACTAACAAGGCCACATGGGAACCTTTTCCTTTCTTCATACGTAGCATATGAAATGATGTGCATTGGTCCTTTTCTTTGTGAGGATGTGCTGTCTGGTGTCATGGCCTCTGTTGAACACAGCAGACATTCAAACTTGTGACCAGTTTTTTTACAGGAAGTTTTTGTTGGGATGATTTTATCTTCTATCTTCAAGAAAAACAGATACCTCAGCTTTTCTAACAAGGCGAATTGTTGAACAAACTGCCTTGGAAGCCCAGTTTTTAGCTCTATTTATGCCTATTTAGTTAACCTTTCATGAATGCAGCAAAAGTTATTTAACATTTGGAAAACTTATTATAGCACTAAAGTATGTATATGTTAGAGAGGAATTATTAAGTGAAATGGAAAAGAGTTCTGAAATTAATATTTGTCTTTTGGCTTCTTTACAGATAACATTATATTTCTGAGTGACCAGACAAGAGAAAAGGCATAAAATGGATGATTCTTCTTTGACCATTGTTTGGTACAGTTCCCTTTCTGAATCATGTATAGTCTTTATAGTTTCTAAGGACAAGAATTAAAGTGCTCTTTTGTATAAATGAGTGATAATGTTTTTCCTGTCACTGCCTCTCCCTTTTTTGTAGCATAAACATCAGTAGCTCCTGTCAATTTTTGTGTGTACTGGTTGTTTTTTCTTTTATGAGTAGTTTCAAAATAGTGAACTTTGAGGTTCATTTACCTGTGTTATAACAAAAGGATTAATATCCTTTGGAAGGCCTTCTGCTTTGGGGCACATTTCTATCACAGTATACTGTTCAGCCACTCAGCATATATTGAGTATTCCTGTGTGTTAGGCATTTATCCCATAGTTGTAAATGTTGACTTTCTTGCCTATTTGCTTCACACATTTGAAAGCAAGTGCTGAATCTTCTCTGTGTACCTCTACTTTAACCAGTATGTAGCTCAGAAGAGCCACTCAATAAATGTTGACAGATGAATGATCCCAGTGGGATATTGACCTTTAGTTCAATTTGAAGGTGTTTGCTGAACAGTGGTTAGTGTCTAACCTAAAACTATTTCAAAAATAACCTATCTTCTTCACATCTCTTGCTTTAGAGCAGTTTAGTTGTAACATTTATGAGAGATAGTTTACCAGCAGTAGAGACCTGAATATAACTTGAATTGAAATAGTTTATCTCTAGATGCTCTGGTTTCATTATTCTCTGTTTCCAAGCCCCACTTTGGTATTCTTTTCAAAATCTCTTCTAGAATTCTCAAGGGGTGGGGTGATGGTCCTTTTTTATTTATTTTTTATTAGGTTCTGGGATTGAACCCAGCACTTTGCACCTGCTATTGGCAAGTGCTTTACCATTGAGCTAACCTCCTGACCTGAACTTGTGAGGGGGAAGTTCCCTCAGAAGTTTCCTTAGCTTTATCTTAGCCTTGCTTATCCTTTCCTTAGCTTTAAGGGAGTTTCCTTAGCTTTATCCTAGCCTTGCCCAGGACAGTAGAAGGTTACTTTTCCTCCTATCAGCTGTCTTTCTTTCTGCAGCTGGAACCACTAATCACAGTATTAACTCTGATGTCTAAGCTCACACATTGATCTGCTTGGTAATATAATCATCATTCCTTTTTGCTACTATGTTCCTTAAGCAGCATTGAAAGTAGATAAAAATTATCCTTTGAGCAATGCTTTGTCTTCTCAGCAAAGCCAATTTTGTATTTTTTCAATGTAAGAAGTTAGGCAGATTAGCATGTCTATTTAAACAAAATGATAAATCTGTGCTCTGGGAAAATCACATAATGAACAAAAGAGCCTAATTACCAACCCAGAGCATTTCTGATTCTATACCAACCCAGAGCATTTCTGATTCTAGGATTCAGTGGCATAATAGTGCATCCTTCAGGATCATCTCAGTGGGCTGAGGAGATCTTCTCCAAACTCTTCTGCTGGAAATTGCCTCTTACCCTTCTGTCCCTGAAAAACCATGAGGCTGAATCAACTTTCAGTCAGGTTGAGTCCCCTCCCTGCATATTGATTCTGCTAGATCCAGTTGTCCCTAATCAGACTGGATCATAACCTCTGCCTTCCCCATCTGCTGAGAAACTTCCTATAGCTCTTACAGACTATAGGGGTCTTCTAGCCCAACTTCAGGTTTTTTTAATTCCCTTTTTCATGGTGTGAAGGCCCAAACCTGCAGAAAATTGCCCTATGATTTTCATTTGGGGATTCCATGTTAAATGGAAAGATAAGCATAATATGTCAAAAAGTGGGAGTAAAAGTACCAAGCAACATGTGTGATGTTATCCCATATTTGAAAAGTTATAACTGAGTATAAGCTTTAAAAAGTGTGGAAGTAGAAATATTGAAATGTTTTGATTACTTCTGGATAGGGTGTTATAAGTGTGGTTTTTCTTATTATATATGCTTGTGTATGTGTGTGTATGTATTACAACATAAGCATATATTACTTTTATAATAATAGTAATAAAAATATTTTCATTTTGGGGAAAACATCTTGCCATTATTTCCAAACCAGGCTTATTGTACTTACCAGTACTGCTTCATATACTGGAATGAACAAGAAAAACTTCCATATACTTTCCCAGTCATCTGTATTTTAGCATCTTATGCTCCTTTACTTTATCCACCTTTTAATAGTGTGTGTGCAATCCAAAAGGATGATTTTAAAGACCAGCATGTATGAAATCCATATTTACTGCCAGTACAATTCTTTTGAGTCATCATTTTTCAAAAAATTATTATGTGATTAATTTTCAGAAACATCAAACACATTTTTTTTCTGTGGCTTTTGGGGTATTGCTAAATGGGTTACAGTTTATCCTTTACAGCTCAGGAAAAATTAAAGGGTGTTTGCTTTTGTTTCCAAAAGAGACCATATCATTCTTGAAGGCAGGGTTTTTTAATTCAAATTACCCTATTGCCCCAATCTGCTTCAACCCAGCGCAGCAACTTTGCATGTTTGTGCTCAGTTGTAATGAAATATTGACATGAAAATGAAGGCAGGATCACTTTATTTATTTTCTTTTATGGTTTGCATTATATACTGTGAATATTGGGGGAGGTAGTAGGAAGAAAATCATTGTAGAAAATAAGCAGTTGGGGCTGGAGTTGTGGCTCAGCGGTAGAGTGCTCTTCTAGCACTTGCAAGGCCTTGGGTTTGATCCTCAGCATCACATAAAAATAAAATAAAGGTATGGTGTCCATCTACAACTAAAAATAAAATATTTTTTAAAAAAAGGAAAATAAGCAGTAATCCCCAGGGTTAATGAGAATGAGTTATAGGGAAATCTCTTAAGAGGTAACAATAATCATATTAATGGCTGACATTTCTTAAGTGCTTAGTATGTGTTAGACACTACTTTTTATCATTGTCCCATTTAACTATTATCCTAAGAAGAAAGTTCTGTTATCTCCATTTTATAGGTGAAAGTAAAAGGCAGGTTAAGTAATTTGTCAAAGCCATGTATCAGGCATACCTGGAGTTTCAGCTCAGGTATGTGACGTTTGCATTTGACTTTTGGCACTGTCTGCTTTGGTTTACACTGATAGGGCTTCATTGGCCTTAATACCCACATTCTTCTACTGCTAACCTGAAGAATGCCCTGTGCAGGGTATGTTGGAATCATACCAAGAGTCGAATAAATAATAGTTTTTGGTTGGGAGAAGAGTTTCAAGTAAAGGAGAAATACCTAAACCTTAGTCTTTCTGAGTCTTGGTCTGATGATCCTGTGTCACAGTTAATATCTCTACCATGGCATCTTAGCATATTCCTTTTGCTTTCCTTGTATTGAGCAGTGTTTCTTTCCTGATTAGAGTAACTTCAGTTTGTTTCTTTCATTGTTTCCTAATTGAGAGTTTTAATTGTCAAGAATATTGTTCAGGGATTTTTCAAGTTTACTCTTTAGAGAATGAGAATTTTGGCAGGCATTACTATAATTTGCTTCTGTGCCAGCCCCACAGTCCCACATACTAGAATAGCATATAGCTTTTTAGGTTGTTGGCATTATGTAGTCACAATAATAAAGCATCTCTTTATTTTCTTATTCTTTGTCTATTTGCTCTCTGCTGTGTTTTGGAGCTCAGGCTCTGTTTTACCACACAGGTGCCCATGTTGACATTATTTACTTTCTGTGTCCTACCTGTTAGGAAAAATAAATGTGGTTTCTAATAATAATAATAGTTCAGAGTTAAGGCTATACAGTCACACAGCTTAGATTTGAATCCCTGCTTTTCCATTCACCAGCTGGTTAGATTGTTGTTTTGTTTTCTTGCAAGTAAAACAGGGATAATAGTACCTGTCTTATAGTCCTGCTGTCAAGAGCACAGTAAATACTGCAGTACCTGTAACTTCTTTAATACACAAGACCTGCAACAAGTCCTCAGTATGTGTTGACTGTAATTATTGTAGTTATTTATTTTTTTGGTACTGTGGATTGAACCTAGGTTTGAGTAACCACTGAGCCATATCTCCAATCCTTTTTACTTTGAAACAGGGTCTTGCTAAGTTGCGTAGGGCCTTGCTGAGTTGTTCAGGCTGGCTTTGAACTTGTGATTCTCCTGCTGCAGCCTCCTGGGTCTCTGGGATTTCAGGTATGCACCACCGCACCTGGCAATTATAGTTATTTTAAATAAGGCACATCATTCTTTTTGTCACTGTGCCCATCTTACCAAATCTCATGTGATATTTATGAGAGTTTGTAAACTTCATTGTAATTTTTTTTGTTATTAACTTCCATGGATTACTGAGTACTTACTCTACATTGATGATGTTTTTGGTTGTGTTTCATTTCCCAAGATTATTTACAATTAATCTAGTTATCTTTCTAAACTCCAAAGTCAGTTGGACACTTGCTTTAGGGCATACACATCTAAAGGACCTGGATGTAGGGATGAATGTAACAAGACTCCAGTGATGAAGGAACTCAGAATTTAGGATGATGAGGGTGGGAAAGAGGATAAGCAGAAACTTTTGCAGCTAAGTGTGTGAGGAGAAGCACAGGAGAAGATAGGCTAGTCTTTTGTAGAAGAAATAGCATGATCAAAGATCCAGAAACTTAAAAGTTTTTGAGGCATTGAAAGATGAAAAAAGGTGGGTTCAGGCTAGATTGTAAAGGGTCTTGGAAGATTGCAGAGAACTTTGGCAAAGGGGAGCCATAGATGGTTTGCAAATAGGGACATCTCATCAGAATTATGCTTTACAAAGACACAGGGATGCATTAGAAGGGGGACAGCCTGGAGCGGTTAGGAAGTTCCTACAGTAAGCTTAGAGAGATGAGTAGAGTGGGGATGAGAGACAGCTTGAGGGACATCTGGGATTTGGGTTGATTCAACAAATTATTAGTTTGTTTTCTAGTTCTGTGCCAGATCCTGAGTTAGAAATACTAAGGAGAATAACTTATAGCTTTTTCTCTTACATATAGAATCTAGTAAGAGAAAAATCAATAAAGGATGATTTTGAGGTTCCTCTTGGGTACACACATGTGTGGATAGTGATACTTTACTTCTGAGTTTATGGAACAGGGATGTGGTAGCAGATTTGAGAGGGGGAAAGATATTGAGTTGAGTTTTGAACATAGTTTAATTGTAAAGTTTGTAGCAGATATTTGTTAGGGTGTTGATTACATTAATTGAACTTGGAAGAGAACAGGGTTTGTTTTTGACTTCTGTTAAACACATTGTTAACAGGTTTTGTGAGATAAGTTTCAAATATTTTCAGGATTCCAGATTTCTGTTGTAGAAAAGATTTCTAGTTGCTTGTTTATCTAGAATTTGTTTTAATTACATAATGGTAATATGACAGGGAGACAACTGCTTTTGAAATAAGTTTTTTCTTACAGTTCCTAAGAGGAGAGGCATACAGTGTGATGCAGGGCCCACTTGAGGAAGCACCAGGGTTGGGTATGGAGGCATAAAGGAAAAGGGCAAAGCATTGTTTTGTTTTTCATGGGGAAGGAACAGGTAAAGCACAGTAGGCTAGCAGAGCAAGTTTAGGATTAGGTAGTTTGAATAATTTCAACAAACTTTGAGCTGTAGGTATGATCCCTACTTGTCAGATACTTGGCTCTCTCTAGGGTGAACAAGGGAGGGGCTGATAAAACACAGTAGAGGATGTGTGGATTTAGAATTGTTCTTTTTTTTTTTTTTTTTGCATATCAAAGATGTGTTTTCACTAATTCTAGGAAATAACTAATCCTGGAAGGAACAGCCCCTCTCTGGGTCTGCAAGGCTCCAAAATGTCCAAGCTTCTTAGAATATAAACAATAAACAAAATGAACACAGTACTCAGTCTCCATTGTGTCTTTTATATTTACAGAACCAGTATTTTGTTAGTTATGTCATTGTGCTCACCCTAAGTACTACATTTCTTTTCTTGGTAGTTAGGGTTTGCCAAGTGACTATATATAGAAGTCATTTCTTGCGCTTCCAGGAAAATTCTTATATGAAGTAATGCTATTTGGAGACTCATACCTTGTGTTTCTCCAGATCCTTATCCCCTGACTTTGTTTTTCTTATCTCAAATGTGGATGTGATGCCTAAATCTGTAGCAGACATCCTGAATATACAGTAGTCTTCAGGATGGAAGATGGAAGAAGCTGGGAATGTGATCTGAAGCCATGTGACCAGTACTGCACAGTCTACCTCTGGACTTCTTTGGAAGAGGCAAATAAACCTTTTCCTTGTTTCAGCCACTTATTTATGTGCAGTTAAAACTAATCCTTATTAATTTATACATTTTTACCTTTACTCTTATCCTTTCTTTCTGTTATATCACCTTCCACTGAAAATAGAAGTAAAATTTCATCTCTGATCACATAATCCTTTAGATATTTATCCTACATCTCATAAATTTGGGGAGGACACTGGGGCATATAAAGTACACAGAACCTTAGCAGTTATCCTTAGAAAGAGTTAATAACATCTTACTTTTTTGTTATACAGTTTCATTTTGTGTGTACTCCCTAATGAGGACCCCTAATCAATAACTCCCCATTAAATAAAGAAGCACTTAAAATTAAGAATAGAAGTACTGTCCTTACACTCCCCGGAGAGTACCGAGGCTTCTCACTGCAAAGTAACCAGATCCAAAGTACAAAATACTTATTATTGCATCATTATGTGTATTAGTCTGCACAGTCTGCCATATAAAAACACCATAGACTGGGTTTAAATGACGATTTATTTTCTCAAGTTTTGAAGGCTGAAAATTTGAGGTTGGAGTGGCAGCATGACACTGCCAGCAGTTTCTGGTGAAGCTTCCTGACTTGTAGATGTCTGTCATCTAGCTGTGCACTCCACTCACATGAACTCTTGTGTGCCTGTGAGGTTTAGGGCCCCACCTTTTTTTTTTTTTTTTTAAACCTCATTTAATTTTACCTTCTTAGGGGCTTCATCTCCAAACACAAGGTAGAGGTTTATGTTGGGGGTTAGAACTTAAGCATGCAAATTGGGGAGTGTGGCAGTGACCTAGTGCAGTCCATAGCATTGGGCTTGCAGAAAAGGGAAAACTCCCAAATGACAAATTTAAAATAGGAACTGAAGTGAGCAATAGAAAATGGTGTTCTGTGATGATAGGTGTCAATCTTTGCATTATGATTTGGAAATAAAGGTAATATGCAAAACATGCCTCAAACATTCTTTAATTTTTTTTAAAACAAGATAGACATGTCTTCTACCTCATCTTTTAACAAATTACCTCTACCTAGGTTCTAGCAAGTGCTGTTGAAAGAGGAAAAGGGAAAAGTGTTAATATTAGAAAGAATTCACAAGTGCTTTGATTATATTGAATATGATTATATATGAATATAGATATTAAGAGCTGCTGGAAATAAGTATTCAGGTGCCAGCTATAAATAACGAAAATGTAATTTTTATTTCAACAAATGCCACCATTTTGTAATTTTTAAAAAGGTGCCATTTAAAAGCACCAGAACTTGCAAGGAGTCTACAGTACAAGATCTCTATTCTATGGTGAACATTATAGACATTTATTGAATTACATTAATAGAAGAATTCAGGAGTTTGAGGGAACTTTACAAATTATTTCTAAATATATGTTCACCAAACATCAAAGAACAAACAACATACTCATGAAGAAGAATGAGAAATGGAGTAGATGCTCTCTCAGTTGGCAAGTATTTTTTTAAACCTAATATGGTATACTATTGATACAGAAATAAAAAAATCCCAAAGTAGTATAGACTAGTCCAGAAACAGACTATGCTTATGTAGAAATAATAGCTGATGAAAGTGGGATTATAAATCAGTGGCTAAAGTATATTCAATAAATTTGAGGAAATTTGTCATCCACACCAAAAAAAAAAAAATCTCAAGTCTGTATACTGTATGCAAAAATATATCTGGCTATTTGAATTTGTTTGTAAAACATAAAACTTAAAGTTGAAAAAAATGTAAGGGACAATGTCTTTAGGATTTGGGTATATGGATTTTTTTTAAAGTGATAAATCTGACTTAAAAGTAGCTTTTGTTTATCATAAGTCACCATTAAGCAAAAAGATAAGTCACAAGCTGAGAAGATACTTGCAATCATATAAGTGAAATATAATTATTAAAACACATAAAAGCCTACAAAGTAATGAGAAAAATCTCAGTGGAATAAATGAGCAAAGACACAGAAGGAAATACAAATGACTTAATATATGTAAAAGAGGTTCACTTTGACAATTAAGGAAATGGAAAACAAAAGCCACAATGAGATTTCATGTTAAGCCTTCTAGATTGGCAAATGTCAACATTTGCTAAGGGTGAAGGAGGATGCTGTAGATCAGTGGAAACATGCACAGGAGGGGGCAGTGTGAACTGGCATTCCCATTTGGGAAAATGTCTTGTCATTGTTGAAATTTCACATAACTATTCTACCTTTAGGGCATATACCCTGAAGGAAATGCTTGCTGAATATATCCCATGAAAAATGTCCAAGGGTGCTCATAGCAGCAATGTACATCTTAGTAAAAAACTGACAACAACCCAAAGGTTAATCAAGAATAAATACTCATGTAGTGGAATATTGTGCAGCTGTATAAAATAATTATAGTTAACATTCTAATAGGAATAGCTTTTAGATATACATGAAGTGAGACAACATGAGAAGAGTGTAGAAGATCTTTGTGCAATAAAGATTAGTATCAAAAAAGTCAATTGTTTATGGTTAGGTACATGTGATGAAACTTCAAAAGTAAAAGGGAATGATAACATTCAAGATGAGTTATCCTGGAAGCTTGGGGAAAACAAGTAAGGGCAGGAGAGGAAGAAATATATGGTGGAATTACGGGTGTTTATTTTATATAGCGCTATTATATACCCTGTATGTTTATTATTTTCTAGCCCAGTTAGTCTATTATGTTAGGGAATAAATGATGATCATCACTATTCCTTCTATTTCAATAGTGCATGGAATTCTCACGTCCAGATTTTCTGACAGTAAGCAAATTATTTGCCTACTGATGTGGCTCCTTTTACATTTTTCCTTCAAGAAAGGACACAGGGGAGATGGGGTATCTCCATCAGCCCACAGAAGGTCCCTGCTAACCATACAGTGCCCTGGCCCCTGTGTGTAATAAGAGGACAAGAAGGAACTATGTCTTATTTCTATTGATGATTCAGGTTTCCATTTAATGCAGCCTGTTCTTTAACACGAACCATGTGATACTGTAAAATTTGCCTTGAACTGGTGCATGAAAGGATACCCAGAGGAGATTTCTTAGTATACAATGCAATGTAAGGAGTATATATTTTATTGTAATGGTAGTGAGAAGTGACTGAAGTAGTAACTAACAAAACAAAATGATCAATCAGATTTACATTTTGAGAAGACCACTCTTGTAGCTAAGTGAGGAATATATTATGGGGGAAGACAAGAAATGGGGAGAAATGTTGGTAAGACATCAAGTAGTACAGATGAGAGATGATGACATCTTGGAGTAGGATGGAGGTTATAGAAGTGGAATATCCAAGGCATATTTTATAATTAAAATGTGTAAGTCATTGATGGGTGGATACAGGGTGAGAGGAAAGGGAAAAATCAAGTTAATTCTTAGGTGCTGCCTAATATAAGGAACTGGATAATGTTAACGTTTGCTGAAACAGGGAAGAATAAGGAAGAAAAGGTTAATTCTTTTAAAGTGGGAGTCAACTGAGAAGTTGTTTCGGATGTGATGGTTTTAAGGTGGAAGGGGTGAAATTAATAAAGTTAGTAAAAAGTATGATCACACATGAAATGTATGTGACATGTATTTGAACATGCCTTGTATTCTGAGCTTTGTCCTCATTGAATAATTCCAATGGGACTAGAGGAGTCTTATTATTTTTTTGTTCTCATGTAATGTGAAAGAGATTGTAAGATAAGAAAAAAATCTCAATCTATAGAACCTAGAGTATGAGAAAACTGAACAGGGACAAGGGTAGGTTGTAGGATAATCCCTGTCACTGGAGTAAGGTCTAGTTACTGGACTCCAGAAACAAGGGAATCTGACTTTATTGTGGTTCCACTGCACAGAGGTCAGGAAGCAGGTGGGCCAGGTTCTCCTATTGGCCTGAGAAAGCAAAGGGTCATGAATGTGAACTTATGCCTGAGTGCTCTCCAGTGCTCCTGAGGTGTATTGTGTACAACATGGTGCCAATATTGCTGAGGTTTGCCTCGCTCAGTTGAGGGATTCCTTGGCATCTGTTCAGATGAGACTATATCTCATTGAGATTTACCATCTGCTACTCTGTGACGTCCTTTTGAAGAGACTTAAAAGTGTCTTTCAGTGAATAATGTCCATGCCCTCTCTGCTTTGTGTTTTGATGGCATTGATACCTTCATCATCCATCAGACATTGTTTCCAAATAGTCTTGATCACAACTTATTAGTGGGTTTTAAAATCAATTTTGTGAGACACAAGCATATTGAAAGATATAGAGTAGCATATTATTTTACTCATTTTTTTGTTTATTATTTTATGCCCTTACCCTTCCTCCAGGATGAGGGATAGTGCTTTGATGTAGAATTCTGATTTTCCCTTCTGTTTGTATGTCTCTGAGTCCTCCTCATAGGAACCGAGGCTTTTCGTGCTTCTGAGCTATTCTTTTGGCTTCTTTGATGCTTTCTGTGCTGGGTGGCTTCCATCCCTGTGCCCTTTGAAACTGAGTCCTCTTTCTCCATATTCTTTGTGACCCGGATGTCTTCCTTCTAGGTGACACTGGACACTACTCTATTTGCATTTCAGCAAAGAGCTGCTGAGTTTAGGTTCATAGATTGAAGTGACAGTGCATGTCATCTGTGAAGAGAGCAGAGCAACCTGACAGAGCCAGAGAGGACTCAGTAAACTGTGCTGTATGGCAGACTAACTTGGGCAGAGACCAGAGACAGGTACAGCGAAGCAAGCTGTAGACAGGATAGATTCTCAGAAAGAAACTTGAAATCAGCAAGGAAACTATATACATTCACAGAAAGAACAAAGATCGGGGCTACCTACTTGCTGAAATGATGGGAGCCATTGAGGGGGTGTTTCTGGTTCTGATTATCACCCAGTTCATTCTTGGAAATCTGAGGAATGGTTTCATTGGTTTGATCAATGGCAGAAGCTTGTACAGGAGCAAGAGAATCTCTTTATCTGACTTCATCATCACCAGCATGGCCCTCTCCAGGATTGTTCTTCTGTGGATTTTCTTGACTGATGGTGTTTTGATAACATTCTCTTACAAAACTCATGATTCAGGAACAGTAATGCAAATTATTGATATTTTCTGGACATTTACAAACCACCTGAGCACATGGCTTATAACCTGCCTTGGTGTCCTTTACTGCCTGAAAATCGCCAGTTTCTCCCACCCTGCATTCCTCTGGCTCAAGTGGAGGGTTTCCAGGGKGGTTGTATGGATGCTGTTGGGTACACTGCTTTTGTCATGTTGCAGTACCATGTCTCTGATCAATGAATTTAAAATCAATTCTGTGCTCTGTGGAATTGATAGCACAGGTAATGTGACTGAGCACTTCAGAGAGAAGAGAAGTGAATATCATCTGATCCACATTCTTGGGACTCTGTGGCACGTCCCTCCCTTAACTGTGTCCCTGACTGCCTATGTTCTGCTCATTCTCTCTCTGCGGAGACACACATGGCAGATGCAGCAAAATGGCAGCAGTTCTAGAGATCCAAGTACTGAGGCCCACGAGAGGGCTACCAGGATCATCCTCTCCTTCCTGCTTCTGTTCCTACTTTACTTTATTTCCTTTATAATTTTGTCATCCACTCATTTCCTACCAGATGCTAAAATGGCTCAGATGGTTGGTGAAATATTTACAATGTTTTATCTTGTTGGCCACTCATTTGTTCTCATTCTGGGGAACAACAAGCTGAAACAGACATTTATGGCAATACTCCCTTGTAAGTCTGGTCATCTGAAGCCTGGGTCTAAGGGATCCTTCTCCCCATAGTTAGCAGAGGGTGCAGGGTGGAGCCTGGGAGTCCTTTGGCCTGGCTCAAGACTATAGCTCTCCTCCTGTCCCTACCACAGTGCCAGTTTAGACTTTTAGTAGAAGAGAGACACTGCCTTCTTCACCCCTGCTTCTACCTGGTACCAAGGGTGAAAGGCAGACTTGTTTTCTATACATAGGATAGTTTGGGAAGGGGAAAACCGTCTTTGGGAAATTTCAGTGTGGTAAGAAGATTAACCATGTCGACATGGAGCTGTCTTTTAATGACTATGAATATTAGTTTAAACTTAAAATTGATACTAATATGAATAAAATAGTGTAGTAGGCTTTAAAAAAAATTGAAATAGAGGAACTTAACTACTGAGCACATTCTTAGTCCTTTTTATTTAGAGATAGGGTCTGGCCAAGTTGCTGAGGATGGCTTTAAACTTGCAATCCTCCTGCCTCAGCCTCTAAAGCTGTTGAAATTACAGGCATGCACTACCATGCTTGGCAGAAAGCAATAACTTTTCTGTCCCATAGATGTTTGTTTGAATTCTTGTTCTATCATTTAAAGATCAAGATTTTTGGTCTTTGATAAGCTACTTTAGTTACTTGTTTGACTGTCTCTTTCCTCATCTTAAAAAGTAGACTATAACATCAACTTTGCAGGGCACTAGAATTTCACAAGACAACAGTAACAGCATTTTTCACAGTTCACTATATATAGTGCTGGATTAATGAAGGCTGTTTAACAATGACCTATGCAGCAATTCTTCTCATAAGGTAGCACTTTCCACAAACCTGTGGTTTGATGATGAAAGCAGTCGGGTGAAAAGCAGGTGTTTTGGATTCTAGTTTCCATTCCATGCTTGCACTTCATCATCATTTTATTAAAATTATCAGCAGCTTTTAACTTTTGAGGATGGAAAAACCCCAAGCATCCCACTCGCCCTCTCACCCACTGTCCTTTCCTACCTCCTTCTTCCTTACATCCATATATTCTTCATTACTTCCTATTCTTTTAAAAAAAATATATATCAAGATAAATATTTGTTCTTCAAATTACAAAGTGTTATCCCTTCTTATTTATGCACCTTATGTAGACATTGATTTACTTCCTGTCATCAATTTTGACAAGTCAGTGAGAATATTGTTTATGTTTATGTAAAATTCATTTTTGAGCAAATTCAGATAGGATATATGGTATTTCTGAATGTGTATTTCTAGCACTAAACTAATATGGCTTTCAAGTGTAGAGTGTTATGACTAAGAATGTGGGCCTGAAAGGAAGATAGACTGGGTTCAACTCCTGGCTCTTGCCCTGAAGAACTGAATGACCATGGGGAAATTTCTTAATCTCTAGTTTACTTTCCTCCTTTGTACAAAGGAAATAGAAGTAGTGTTTTTTGATGGGTTTGATGGAAGGAATGAATGAGTTAACACATGAATGATGATTACAGTTTTACATGGAGAAACACTGAAAAAACATTGTTGTTTTGTGAAAGATGGTATATTTTGACCTAGCATGAAGGATCATCAAATGATTTGACATTTATTCATGTGTAACCAGAAATTAATCTTAGGGCTGCTCTGGGATATGTACATTTATTCCTAAAAATACAGGAATAAAATGTTTTTTTTGTCTGTATAGTTGGTTTTTATTTATGTTTTATTAATTATCTTGTTATTTGCAGTTTTGGGGGCTTAACCCAGGACCTTGCACATTAGGCAAGTGAAGTGCTTTGCCACTGGTCTGTTGACTTTTAAATTGATACTTGCTTCTTGAAGCTGCCAATAAAATTCTAAACTCTGACCCATCCCACAGTTCCCTATTTAGAAAGATGTATCTGCTAAAAACTAAAAATGATATAAGATTAATTTATAATTCAGTAACATAAAAGGAATTTAAAACTGGTATTTCCCTCAACCCCATAGTTCAGTAATTAAATAAAGTCTGCTTATTTTCAGCATGGGGGAGTTCTTTGTGGAATTCTATGCTGCCATGCTTGGAGGGCATCTGTTTTGTCTGCTCTGACCTCATGCTCTTTAACTCAGCCTCAACTACTCTAAAACTTCTCCTGAGCTCCTTTCTACTTTTGTTACTTTGACAACTTTCTTGCCTAGCTCTGGCCTTATTGTTCTTTAGCTGATACTGAGGTCCTGATTCTGCATTAAGGACTGAGATGTTAGGATTTTCCTTTCTTACTTAACATCTCACTAGAGGTTTTGGCTTAGCTGTTTGCTAACTGACTGCTTTTCATTTCACTGACTGTAGTACTATGAATAGTGGTGCAGAATTTTTGGAGAGTCTGGTGTGGTAAAACATTGGTTCCCTTAGGGCATCTGTGCCCCATCCCACTTCAAATTCCCTCTTTCAGAAAAATTTGGAGGTGACTCCTGGAAACTATGAGAGTGTATTTTGTGATTTGAGCCATGTGTGGACTGTCATTACTCAAAGGTGGGGTAGGAGTAGGGGCTTGGGTCTGGTTGAAGGGTAAGCTTATGAAGAAAGGAGTGTTGCCTACTGCAAGAGGCACAGTGATGGGAAGTCTGGCTATTTTGGACAGGGCTTGGTCTTCTAATTCCTTCAGAGGAAATGCCTAAACTGCAAGTTCTTCAGTGAGTCCCAGGAAGTACAGTTTTTAGAAACCTTGGAAAATGACATCTTTATGTTTTGTTTTGTTTTGTTTTGCTTTCAAGTAATTGGCTTTCTTTGCTAAATCCCTTAAAATTCTTAAATCTAGGTCCTTTATGCCAAAGGTCCAGGACATGGCTTTTCTCTTCTATGATCAGACACCCTGAATCAAATTATGGAATATTAATTATATCTATATTTGAAGCCCAATTACATGCTAGAGTTGGTTCCCAATGCCCATGTCCCCTCCAAAACACATCTATTCTTTTGTGTATTTTGGAGCTTTAACACAGGAATCAAAATCAATTTATGAGAGAGCTCATGAGACCTCTAGTTTTCCATCAGGATCCTCACAGGTGAGCTTCATCCTTAACTCCATTTTGTGGCAGCCATGAAAATATGCTAGTCAGATCTCTGCTGTGGAGATCATAACTGGCTTATATCTCCAGCTGCTGAGACTTGGCACTGTGAGGCTATGCTTCCTGTGAGTTTCTTCCAGTGTATGACAGAGCACCATGCAGTATCAAGCCAGGTCTGTTCTGTTGAAACAGACTCCTCCACAGCCAATTCTGGCCTATTCACTGTCCATCAGTTTTCTTGAAACTGCTACAGTTTAGGACTCCTCCTCTACCCAATTGTTTCTTCCACCCTCCTTTTGTGTGTGTGTGTGTGTGTGTGTGTGTGTGTGTGTGTGTGTTTTCACAGATGCCATACCTTAATTGTTGTCTAAATATTCTATTTTCCTCCCTCGACTTCCTCCCATGTTGAGTATCATGTATGTTTAGTCTTTTTTCATTCTCTGCTATTGGAAGACCTGAGTCAATATCCTCACCTATTTAAATAAGCTCTTTTTTTTTAACTGTTAGTGCAGATCACACAAATATTCAGGAAAAGACTTTCTCTCTCTCTCTCTCTCTCTCTCTCTCTCTCTCTCTCTCTCTCTCTCTCTCTCTTTCTCTTTGTGTATGTGTGTGAGAGAGATTGTGGGTATACTCTGGAAACCAGCCCAGATTTTCCCTCATTGGCAACTTCAGTGTCTATTTGATCACCAGTCAGATCGATTTGGTATTTAACAGCATTTCTTCCAAATGTCACCTCATCTCTACTTCTAGTTTTTTCAACCCATCAGAGTGACTGCAACAGGATTCTGACTAGTTTCCTGTCTCCAACTCCACCTACTTCCAGCAAAGCATTCCTACATTACTTGGGTTTCGTTTTACATACAATGAAAAAACCATTATAGTGCTCCTTTCCTGAGCTCTATAGTGACTCTCCGTTGCTCTGGGTAAATCCAAATTCCTTGACCTGTAATATAAAGCCATTTGTCATTTGTCCCCTATTTTCCTTCTTAGTTTCATCAGCTTCTAGCTCCCAAATATGCCATAATCTCTTGTTGCTATAGTTTTGTGTAAGCTGTTCTCTTTGCTTAGAATTTTCTTTCTCTCATCAGCTAGTTTCTCTTCTTCACATCTTTAATCCTCCAAGACAGTTTCTCTGATATAAGGAAGCTGACTCATAGTGGGGTAGGGAGGGGGAATAGTGGGGTAGCATGGGAGGAATAGATGAATTCTGGATAGGGCAGAGGGGTGGGAGGGAAAGGGAGGGTGCAGGGGCTTAGCAAGGATGGTGGAATGTGATAGACATCATCATCCAAAGTACATGTATGAGATATGAATTGGTGTCAGCATACTTTATATACAACCAGAGAAATGAAAAAATGTGCTATATACATGCAATAAGAATTGTAATGCATTACACTGTCATTTATTTATTTTTTAATCAATAAAAAAGGAGTGGCACTGGAAAAATTTGAATGACATTTGGAGAAAATAGCTACAGCATCCACAGATTATAGGGGAGAGAGAAGTTGAATTGAGGTAAGCCATGGATATGTGGTTGGAAGGTGCTGAGTAGCAGTGAGGCATTAGAATTTCCACCATCATCTGTGGTTTCTATGAAGAAAACCTATGGTGTGAAACACTGACAGGAACAATGCTGGACTAGGTCTCTCTGATTGGATTTGAAGACCTTGAAGTCTGTTCTGATTCCACCCCTGGCCTTCTTGCTCTTGGAGGAAAGGACTTCCAGGTCTACCTAGGCTTGTTTTAATTGGGTGTTTCTAAGAAAAAAATTATAGGAATGAAGAAATAGTAATGCAATCCTTAGAAAATTTGCATCTCAGTAAAAGCAGTTGGCTATTAAACTACAAATGGCTCATTTGCTGAGCTGGGGAAAAAAAGAGGAAACATCTCCCTGTTTGGATACTGGTATCTACCTACACATTTCAGTATTTCTCCTGCCTCAGCATCAGTACTGTAACTGCTGAATTCTCAATGAGTAAAGATGCTTGAGGCATTTTATTTTTCTGCTGTTGTTGCCTCAC